TGACACAAAGTTTTAAAGTAATAAAACAGACAGATATAAAAGGAAGCCAAGATGCCAAGTTTGTACTGCTTTTAGTTACCAATGGGCATCTTTAGGCCCAGTGAAAAGACAAGTTTTTAAAAGCAAAAAATAGGTAAATCCCTGATTGCCTCAGAAGAAAACACAAATTATGCGTTTAATGAGTAAAAGATTAATGGCCAGAAAAAAAAAAAAAGATTAATGGCCAGGGAGTTTGTTTAGGCTCTGTCTCTCTGTGGTGATCTACAACAGTTTTAACATATAACTAAATGAATCATTACAGATGCTATAGCAAGGGCATCCTGGCTTTATTGTGGCACTGGAGCCAGGTGTGTTGGTGAATACATGTAGTCCCAGTGAGGTAGGATGGAAAAAATAAAAACTGGGTAGAAAGGAGACAAGGAAATTGAGATTTTAGTATTATACTAAACTGCAGCTTCAAGACACAGCTACACAAACCTTTTTTTCTTCTAGGAGACTCATTAAATTCCCCAAAGTCCCCAAAGGCACAATAAGTCTGTAAATCCAGGTTCTGGATCTGTCCATTTCACCTGTAAATTGTACTTCCTCTACCCTGTGGAAGCAGCACTATTGGTGGGCAGCATATCTCAACTTCAAACACATGTAGACAGATTGCATTCTGGCATAGCCTGCCAGATGGGTAACCTGACAGACCACAATAATGCACATAGGCTACTCATCTTGAAGACACCCCTTTAGACACACTCAGCTTCAGCACATCAGATATCTCATTTCTCTGAGCACCATATTCCACTCTTGAGTGCATCCTAAAATCTGTCTAATAAATCCTCTTCATGTCTCTTACTGATGTGTCCTGAAAAGTCTGCTTCCATGAAAGAGTCAGGAAATCTGCATACTTATTCTGTTGCGGAAAAACCAATATCAAACCAGATGGAGGACTCTGCACCGAGAAGTTACAAGGCAAGTTTTATTACACTAGCAGGCTGGGGAACGCAGAGGCTCAAATCTGGTTTGAGTTCAGTTTAAATAGGGTTTGCGAGTGGAAAGTACAAAGCTGATAACAGGTTATTACGTGATTGGTTACAAGGAGTACAAGAATTATGTCATATATTGTCAGGCAGGTTTACTTAAGAAGAATTGTTTAACGTTCTGGGAAGGAGGGGAGACGGGTGTGAGTGGAGCGAGTAGAGTGAAATGGGTCCTTGACTGGGCCAGTCTGTCTCAGACACGAAGTCCTTGAAGCAAGTTGGAAACAATATACGTTTTTCTAACTAAGGAAAACAAGCTGGACACAGTCAGGTTGGCCCAGTGCATTATCAAAGAGAAGTAGACAATCAAAGCTGATTTTCTATGTAACAGGCAGCATAAGCATAGGCACAGGCTATCAATTGGTTTCAAACTTTTGCTATAATATGCCTAAAAGTCTGCTATTCTGTAAGTGTACCCTTAAAATTCCACGAGGGTGGAATAGGTTCCCTATTTTAGCTGCAGGGACCCTCAAACACAGCCTGGTGATGCCAGAATCTGGGAGGAGGAGGCAGGAGTATGATAAATTTTAGCCTAATATAGACAATTTAGTGACTTCATGAGACTCTGTCTCAAAAGTGTAAAGAGGATAGGAATTTATCTGTTCAAAGGCCCTAGGTTCAACTCATATTGCTGTCAAAACAAAATAAATGCACCTGGGCCTGTGGTCTTAAGATCGAGGACCTGAGGTAATGCATGCTGAAGAAGAACATGAGATTACATTTCTGATACTAGGTACAAAGTGATACTTCTTCATTCCTAGGATCCTATTTGGATCAGGGCTGAAATTATTCCTTGATGTGAAGAAGCGTCAGGAGTGAACTGAACATCCACGGTCAGTGGAGTCTAAGATGGAGACAATGGCGCATTTAAGTGTCTTTCCATTGTCCTGTTGCCTATGTGTCCTCATCATGTGCCCTCCTGGTAGTTCCAGTCACTTAGGTTTACACTTTGGCAGTACCTGGCAGTACCTGTTATACTGAGACACAAAACACCCACTAATTTGAGGACACCCAAATAGGAATGTGCTTTGTGTCATTTATTTTTAACACGGGGCTGCAGCACTACACTCGACCACCAGAGGGCAGATGGTGCTCACTTTGCCTAACCGACATCTGGCTCCTGGGAAGAACCACCAGTCTAATTTGCATATAATATTATTAATATGCTTCTGCAAACTGTGAGCTGCTAAGAGAAATATATAAGGGACTTTGAGTTGCTCTCATTCAGTAACTCTGCCTCAAGCACAAATATGTACAGGACCCGGTTGCAGTGCTGAAAATCACCACTTGGTCTGTGCCATCCACAAGCTCACAGTCTGAAGGAGATGGAAAAGAGCATGGAAACAAAGGTGGAGGAGAAGAGCAGGTGCTATAGTTAAATAAAGCAGAGTGCTCTGCGGGAGATGGAAACCACTAGGTATGCTGACCTGAAAGGCCACAGTGAGGTGACATGTGATCTGCGACCAAAATTCTGAGCAATCAGACCTGAATAACCCTGGGATCAGCATATACCAGAGGGAAGAAACACAGGCACAAAGAAGAGCTTTCATATTTTCTGATAAAGGTTTTCCTTATTTATCACTTTCCTCTATAGTAAGAAAACTATGTAAGCAATCATAAAAATATAAAATATCACCAGGATAGTATATTTGATCTACCAACCTATTCTTGTTTCACCAGTTTTACTTGTGTGTTTTATGGGTGTTTATTTCTATGTAATTTTATTTCATGTATATTTTTATCTTTTCATAAAACAGTGAAGATACAGAAGAGTTCTATCACAAGATTATCTTGTGTTCCTGTTTAACCACACCCACTGCCCTTCTGTCCATAACACCCACTCCACTATCTTCCATTGCAACCACTAATTTATTCTCCATTTTGAGAAAATTGTCATACTCAAAATATTATATAAATAGGTTCACAAAATATGTAATATTTTGTGATTTTTTTATGACTTCCAAAACAGTCATGAAAAAACTTTTGCATTTCGCACATGTACCTTTTGTTATCATGGAGTCATTTTGCTTTGCACAGATGCACCCACATGATGCACCCTTCATGTAGTTGCTCACCCACATGAAGACATGTCAATGGTGTTTACTTATTATTAAAAGTCAAACTTCGTGAACATTTATGTATCTGTTTTTGTGTGATAGAGATTTTCATTACTCTGGAAAAAATGTGGAGGAATCAATCACTGAGTCACAGGATAGCTGTGTGTCTAGTTTTATTAGAGACTTCTAGCCAGGTGTGGTGGCAGGTCCCTATAATTCCAGCATCTGGAGGCTTGGGGAGAAGGACTGACAGTTCATGACCAGCGTGGGATACATAGTGAGTTCAAGGCCAGTCTGGACTGCATAGAGAAACCCTACCTCAGAACAAAAATAAATAAAAACTGGAATAACAAAGAAGAAACTTCCAAAGAGTACAAGAGTATGCTGGTATCATTTTATATTTCAAGTGATCCATCTTATCTACATCCTTGCCATAATTTGGTTTTGTTTCTTTTTTGGTTTTCATTATGTAAGTACTAAGAAATATTAAATAAGTAGAGAGAATGCTAGTAGTTTTAGTAATGTCTACCAATCCTTTGGTTTCTCTCCAAATTGTAGTCCAAAAATCACATACTGTTTGTTCATCAGCTGACTAAATAATGAGTTCACTATTATTTATTTGAAAACAAAAGAGCTAGAAAATGTTTGATTTTTAAAAATTTGTTATCCTGTTATTATAAGTATTCATTTTCTTAAATGACTTAATTATACTTATTACTCTCCGAGTAATTTAAGCAGTATTGAGAAACCTGAGATATCAATTCTAACAGATCTTTAGCATTATTATATCACTGGTTTATTTTTATTTCTTTTTCTTTTTCCCCCCCTTTTTTTTTAAGAGACAGGGTCTAGCTATGCAGTTTAGGCTGGCCTTGAACTCACTATGCAGCCCAGGGTGGCTTCGCACTCTCCAAGCCGCCTGCCTCAGTCTCCCGAGTGCTGGGATTACAGGCGGCTTCACCAGGCCCCACATATCACTGAATTTTAAATGTTTTAGTTGCAGCTATAAATTGAGCTCAATTCGTCAGAGACAATAATTATTCATATTAGCAACACCAAGCTATTGAATCAATTAACCACATCAGATTTATTTTGGTTAGAAAAAAAATCCGACCTCGCTTTTCAAGTGAAATAAATGTGTTAACAAGCATCCCAGGAATTTCACGCCTGAGTTCCAGGATAGAAATGGCACTGCGCCTAGATAGGAGTTTGTCTCCTAGATTAAACAAGGACCTCTCGTTTCAGGAATCTGGAAGCATGCTATCCCTGCCCTGCTCGCAAAATGCCGCCTCTGGTGATACCTGGGCTGGACGAGGTGAGACCTGTACACGAAAACAGCCACTCTACCGTGACTTTCAGCTCGTCCCAATCCATCCCCAAGTGCTCTATTTGTAACGCCTCACTTCGGTTTTTGTTTTTTTGTTTTTTGAGACCGGGTTTCACTAGGCTGGCCTCGAACTTGCAGAGTGTCACCTGCCTCAGCCTCCCGGGTGCTGGGATGACAGGCGTGCGCCATCGTGCCTGGCCTCGCTTCGGTCTTAAGACATCCAAGGGATGCACCTGACATCGTCTGAACAGCGCTCTCCAGTCGAGACACGATTTGGCGGGGCTGGGAAGTCAGTTACTCTGTCTTCCCAGCTACCTGCGGGCGGGTGTGGTCGCCCATTGTGTCAGTTCCCGCTAAACCCCTATCAGTCGGTTCCGGCCAGGGGAACTACAGCAGCCACTGCAGCCCTCTCAGGACTACCCGCGAACGCAGGGACCGGAGGTCACTGCCGCTCGGAGGTTACAATGCGGAGGCCTAGGTAGCAACGCCACGTTAAAGAAGCCACTTTGCGGGGAAGGAAGTCGGCGCGACACCGCCCGCCGGGGCCGGAACTTGTCGCCTGGGCTCCAACACTTTCTGAGCCGGAAGTGAGGAAGGTGGGGCCGGCCCTCCTGTGGCGGACACTCGGGGAGGACGTGGGATGAGGGCGGATGTCCGTGCAGAGGCACTCGGAAGGGACAGATATCGCTGTGACACCGCCGGGACCCTAGAGGGGGACGGGTGTCGGTGTGGCGCCGGTGCACGCTGAGGAGCGGGTGGAAGCGGGTGGTCATGGGGACTTGGGCGTCGTGGGACGCGGTGTGGGAGTTGCCGGCGGAGAAGCGGATCTTCGGGGCGGTGTTGCTCTTCTCCTGGACCGTGTATCTTTGGGAGACCTTCCTGGCGCAGCGGCAGGTGAGCCTCGGCCGGTCCGGCGGAGCCAGCCCTCCGTCAGCCCTCGCCTCGCCCGGCCTTGACCTGAGTCCCTGGACGTTTGCTCCGGTCCCGGCACCAGTGTCTACCCGGTGGCCTCTGCTCAGCCTCCTAGCTTGGCCCGGCGGCGGCCCGTGGCTCCAAGGGGTTCTTGGTGCCGCAGGGAAGTTTTCGGAACGTTGTCTGGGGACACAAGCCTGTTAAGGCCTGAAGAAAGGGAAGGAAGTTCCCCTCCTCAAGCTCGAGATTGTCCCCCGCCACAGCTTTGTAGGATCCTTGGGTCCAGACTTAGCCTTTCTCTTTGGTACAAGCCTTCCGAAGGAAGATGCTAAATTTTAGAATTACAGCTTCTTCGTGGCAGGAAACCATTTTCTTTAAAGATTTTGCAGTGCTTCCAAGGACTTGCACTATTTTTTTTTTTAAATCTCAAAGTGCATATATTTATTCTTAAGCATTTTATTGTCTTTCATAAAAGTGTTCATTATTTTTGTTTAAAAAATTTAAATAGCTAGGCACTGAGGCCCACAGCTGTAATCCTTAGTACTGGGGAGGCTGAGGCAGGGGAAGGAGTTGGAGGAGAACATGGCCAACTTAATGACAGCCTGTCTCATAACAGAAAATAAAAAGGGCTGGGGATGTAGCTTGGTAGTGGAGTGCTTTCCTAGCACGCAGGATTTTTTTTTTTGAAGGGAAATAGAATGTGAAAGTTATTTACAATGCCGGATGGATAACCATAGTTAACAGCTTGATAGAGATCTAAATTTAAATAAGTTTAATTTATGTTTAATTGTTTAATTGAAGTTTATTGCAGTTTCACTGCTGGTTTTCTGTCTTTCCTTTGGGCCGGCGGGATGGTGGTGCTTTTTTGAGACAGGTTTCACTATGCAGTTCAGCCTGGCCTTGACCTCACTTTGTAGCCCAGGCTGGCCTTCAACTCAAAGCAGTCCTTCTGCCTCAGCCTCCCAAGTGCTGGGTTCAGTAGTATTTTTACTGAGTATCTTTAATGCCTTCAGTTTCTACTGATACAATATGAGGTAAGATCACAAACTACAGTGAATATTTAAATAAAAATAAAATTGTTACAGTAGAAGACATACTGTCATTAATCCACCTGAAAACACTTCTCCTTGCTTCAAACATACTTACGCCATCATTCTTGCCACTTTCTGAAGGGGTTTGGGGAGTTTTCTTTTGATTGTGTCTGTTCATGACTGTTTTAATGTCCTGAGTTGATTCAATACATTTATGGCATTTTCTGTCAAATAAAAACATTACAGTGTGTCCTCATCCACCTTATTCACTGGATTTGGCACTTGCAACTTCTGGCTCTTTCCCAAAGTCAAAATGACCATGAAAGTAAATGCTTTGAACCAGTTTAGGACATCACGGCAGCCATGGTGGCGTAAGTAATGACACTTATGAAAGAGAAATTCCAGAACTGTTTCAGAAAGTGGCAAGAGTGATGGGATAAGTGTGTTTGAAGAGAGGGGCTATTTTGAGGAGAATTAATGGCAATGTCTTTTAATACATTATTAAAAATTTAAGCTGACCATACATTTTGATCATACCTTATATATTGAGAAGGCATTTGTTATAAAATCATTGTAGAACATGTAGTCTATCTTATTTTTGTTATCTGTTCCCGGTGTTATGTCCCATGGGCTGAGATTTTCTTTTAGAATTGGTGTAAAGAGAAAGTTGGTCTTGGAGACTGGATAGTTTCTGTTGTTTCTCAAATCTCACTCAGTGACTAACCACAATATCAGTTAATACTCATGGTTGGCCTCAGATCCTCTTGTCTGCATTATTTGTTTCCATGGTCACTGTACTTGACAAATGCAATATTTGTGTATGTATGCAACATTCTACAGGTTTAAGTGACAAGTTAATGCTTCATAAGTCATCTAGTATTTGATCATAAATTTCTATTATAATAAATAATATTTCATTAAAATGTTTTCTTCAAAATATTTCAGAGAAGGATATATAAAACAACAACTCATGTACCGCCAGAGTTAGAACAGATTATGGATTCTGAAACATTTGAGAAATCTCGACTCTATCAGCTGGATAAAAGTACTTTCAGCTTCTGGTCAGGACTCTATTCAGAGGTTGAAGGCACTGTAAGTAATGTACTTTCTTGGAGAGATAATCTCTCAAATTCATACTTTGCAACACGTGTTTTCAGTTTTGTATTTTTGTGACACAAAAAGGGTAGCTGGCTCACAAGTCCCAGAATGCTATCATAACCTTTGTTATTGTTAATAATGGATAAATAGTGGAGTTAATAGTGGAGTAAAAGAGGCAGAAACATAACTGCTTCATAACAGTTGAAATTTGTAGAATGTGATAACTGTCACCTTCTGGCCAGGTGTGAAGAGAGCCTATGATCAGGAACAGTGGAATACACCTGTAATCCCAGCTACTTGGGAGACGGAGACAGGAAGACCACAGATTCAAGGCCAGCCTGGGCAACTTAGTGAGACCCTTTGTCAAAACACAAATGTACAAACAAACAAAATAAAACAGGGTGGGGATGCAATGTAGCTCAGTATTCAGGCCCCAGTATCACCCCATCCCCTACAAAAAACAAAAAAAAAACAAAAAAATTGTATGTTGTGTTTTATTTTTATAAAGCCCCTTTTGGTCTTGCATTTACCTTGAATTTCTTCTCTTTTCTTTCCTTTTTTGTGGAGGCAGAGTCTTCCTGGGTAGTTCAGGCTGGCCTTGAACTCACCATGTGGCCCAGACTGGCCTCAAACTCTTGTGACCCTCTTGCCTCAGCTTCCCAAGTGCTGGGACTACAGGCATGTGCCACCATGCCTAGCTTACCTTGACTTTCTAATATGTCCTTCACATTGCAGCTAAAGGAATCTTTCTGGAACACAGTAACATATCATGTTACTCTCCTACATGAACCCTTTCAGTTGCTTGCTGTTTTCCTCAGAGTAAACTGCAGATTTCTTGGCTTGGTTGATGAAGTCCTTATCACTTGGTCTTTTTTCATGCTGGTATCTCTCTGCCTGAGGGGCCATTCTCCTCCTCCATCATCATCTTTTTACCTGAGTTTGGCTAATCTCTACTGTTCCATTAGGATCCAGCTGAGACATCTCTTTCAAGAAACTATTTGAGGTCCGGTTTAGAATGGTGCTTCATCTAATATAAGTGCTCCAAGTTTGGGCTAATACTATTTTTCATCATTCTTCCAGAACTCTTTCACATCTACTAATTCCACTAAGACAAAGATTGCTAAATCTATAAAAGTAATTGAGGTTGGCTAATTTTTATTTATTTATTTATTTATTGTCTTTTTGAGACAGGGTCACACTATGCAGTTCAGGCTGGCCTTGAGCTCACTTTGCAGAGCTGGTCTCGAACTTGCAATGATCCTCTTGCCTTAGCCTCCTGAGTGCTGGAATTACAGGCGTGCACCACCACACCTGACGTGAGATTGGCTAATTTAATTGTTTCTTTTTAAAAATTTTTATTAGTGCTTGTTTGCAGTATATTATAATCATTGAGGGGCATTGGTACATGTACATAACACATCCTAATTCTTTTTATATCCCCTTCCCCTCTCTTCCCTCTCTTGGTCCTCTTCCCGTTTGCAAAAGATCTGTCTCTGCAAATCAGTCCTTTGCTTTGCTCCTCAGTATGATTGCTTTATGAATGAAAGCGGCTAACTCTATGTAACTTTGTTAAATGAGGATAAAATTGCCTAATTAGTCACAAAATTTTCCTTGACAAATACAAAGTACTGAGACTACTATGATTAAAAGCCAGATGTTGTGGTGTACACAACACTACTTAGGAGGCTGAGATAGAAGGGTTGCAAATTGGAGGACCGCCTGGGCAACTTAAGGAGACCCTGTGTCAAAATAAAAGGTTTGTGGATGTAGCTTGGTAGAGTACTTGCTGAATATCCACAGGCCCTAGGTTTCAGTATCCAAGATAGATAGATAGATAGTTAGATAAATAGATAGATAATAAGATCCAAGTTATTAGAAATTATTCTTATTTTCTTAAGATAATGGAAAATGTCAAAGCTTCTGGAAGAATTAAATCTTGATATTTTTATGTTTATTTATTTATTGCAGTACTGAGGATGAAACCCAGGATGTTCACACTGAGCTACATCCCCAGCCCTTTTTAGCTTTTTATTTTGAGACAGGGTCTCACTAAATTGCCCAGACTAGGTTTGAATCTGTGATCTTCCTGCCTCAGTCTCCCAGAGTATTAGGATTATAGGTATACACCACCACACCCAGCTAATCTTGGTATTTTTAATATATGATACAGAAAATAAAATTACATTAGCTTTTGGAGTACAGTTATTTCTAGTGGCTAGTCTTTTCTTTTCAACCAAGCCAGGAGAAGGAACATTATTGTGGATTATGTTTGGCTTCCCTCCCTTCTTCTTCCTTCCCCTCCCCTCTGCTCCACTCCCCTTCCTCTCCTGATAGTGGTGCAGAGGTTTGAACCTAGGGTCTTGTGCATACTAACTATGTGTTCTACCACGAGCTATACTGCCTGATATTTGCTTCTTTAGAGTTCTTTGACTTACCCCTATAGGGTCATAATAAATAGCATTTTCAGTCTGTATGGTGTTGGCAATATATAGTTCTAGGAAGGAGGCAAGAGCCTGCTAATTGTGGTTAGTGGTCATGGGAATGGCCATTCTAAGAGATGACAGAATAAGGAGAATATGTGCATAAAGTGTGAGCTTTGCCATGCGCTTTGTAGTTCTCATGGACTAAAGCTAGGAACAGTAATAGTCATCATGATTTTCACTTTAGACAGTTTTTACATTTATTGTTTTGTTTGATGTTTACAACAGTGAAATAGAAAGGATAGGGTTTACTATTCTGTTTCTTTGAATGAGGAAGTAAAGCAAAGAAAAATTACATGGCTTGCCCATTTAATGGCTAAGTGATACTCTATTAAGTGGTAGAACAGGACTTCAAACTGCTCCTCTGAGTTTTTAAAGTTACACTGAAGAAACCATTCTTTTTTTCATTTTTTTTTTTTCTGGTACGGGGGATTGAACTCACGACCTTGCACTTGCCGGGCAGGCGCTGTGCGGCTGAGCTAAATCCCCAGCCCTTGAAGAAACCACTCTTGAAACTCTAAAGACTGCAGTTAGTAGCTGCACTTGTCATTGGCTAGGAAGTAAATCTTACTTTGCTTTAAAACCCTGTTCTGTTTGAAAACAAGTTAATTTCTCTTTTTTCTTAGTTAGAATTAATAGGTTTGTATGTTTAGGTCACAAAGACTTGCATGAGATTAAGTTAGAGTTTTCTTTTGGTCTTTGTTTTTTGCTGTAGTGCTATCTACTTGATGGATAAACTAAGGTAAACTTGAAGTAAACTAAGCAGAGCCCTTATATGACCAATTATAAATGCCATTTTTTCACATAAATGTGACAAAGGAACCAGAGAGAAAAATGTCCATTGTCTGAGACAAATTTTCCCTGATATTTCACAGATATAAATAAGGTACCCAGTCAATAAATGGGATGGCCAGGCACTATGGTGTGTGCCTGGAGTCCCAGCTATGAGGGAAGCTGAGGCAAGAGGACCTCGAGCCCAGAAGTTTGAGACGAGCCTAGGCAACAGAGTGAGACCCCACAAGAACTTGAATGGCTAGAGGGTGGAGAAAGTTAGAATAGAAAGTTCAGCTTGTTGCTTCTCCAATTTCTGTGTTTCTGGATGAGCAGTTTTCCTTTTTTTGCTTGTTGTTTTGTTCTGCTTTGTTTTGAGACAGGGTCTCATATATAATCCAGGCTGGCCTCAAATTTGTGGGGATCTTCCCATTTCAACCTCCCAACTGTAAACATCTGGTTTCCCAATTGTAAACACCTGGTTTCCAATTTCATTCTTTTCAGCTTCATTTTAGAGTGAGTGTGTAACCACAGCTATTCTGGAGGCTGAACCAGAAGAATTTCAAGTTTGAGGCCAACTTGGGTAACTTACTGAGGCACTCTCAAAATAAAATAAAAAAGGGCTGAGGAAATAGCTCGGTGATAGAGTATTTGCCTAGCATATGTGAGGCTTTGAGTTCAATCTCTAATACTTAAAAAAAAGAAAGAAAATAAAATGAAAAAATATATAGATATTAAGTCTTATCTTGTATGGCTAATAGAAAGGGCTAAGTAGGAAAGATAATGCAAGTTACAGGACTCAGCACACAGCATGTACTTAATCACTGGTTTCTTTGGATGAGTTACTTTTAGTTTCTCTGAGTTTTAGTTGCCTCATCTATAAAATAGAGAGGGTTATACTCTCCACCTTACCTGCTTTTCAAGACTCTAGTGAAATAATATATGTAAAAGCACTGAATTGCTTTTGTTTCAACATACAGAAAGTTTATGGTTCTCCATGCCTTGTTTCTCAGTCGCCAAAGGAAACTAAACATGGTTTGATTTAGTTTGGTGCTGAGGATTGAACCCATGACACTCACGTGCTAGGCAAGAGCACAGCACTGAGCAACACTCCAGCCCCACAAATGAGGTTTGAAATAGCAGCTTCTGAACTCATTCATGAATCATTCAAAGTTGAAATATTAAGACTACTCTTTATTTAAAAGCTGGACTTTTAGCCTTTCACCAAAGGCATTATAAATTTTTAATTCTACATTTATTAGTATTGGGATTGAAATGAAAGAAATGACATCTCAGATCAGTTAGCTCAACAGCTGGAATATAGGCCAGATTGTGGCACAAAAGCATATCTTTGGTAACAAGGTTTACTTACATCCTAGACTGAGTTAACTGTATTAAAGTGGATATAGAGTTAATGAAGCCTTTAGAGAAATAATTTATTTAAACACTGGTTTTTAAATGTTGATGTCCATTGGATTCACCAGGAGACTGTGTGGCCCCACTTCCAGTGTCTGACTCAGTAGATCTGGATCAGGCCCGAGAATTTACATCTAACACATTCCTGCTGTTGCCGCTGCTGCTGTCCAGAAACTATATTCAAAACCTCTGGTATTAAACCAGTCCAAAATATTGGTAAAAATCTAAAAGATAGATAGTATAAAGTATAGGATGAGGTTGTAGAAAAACAGGAACACTCAGGTACCACTAATGAAAGTGTAATTTGGTGTAAACACTTCAGAGAATAAACTAGTAATACTAAGTAAAGATCACTGTGGAAGGATCTAAAAAAATAAAGTTCAAAAGTAAAAGCATGGGATGATACATACAGTATGATGTCATTTATGTACAGTCCTTCAGGTACATAAATCACTGTTATTCAAAGGTACAAATATAAAGATGGAAAGTAGTTTGGAAGGTTACCCATGAAATATGATAGTGCCAAAATCCTCAAACCAGGGACAGAGGTGTAGGTCAGTGGTAGAACATGTCCTTAGCATATTCAAGGCTCTGAGTTTGATTCCCAACACAACACAACAAAACAAAACAAACCCTTCAGACATGAGAAATCTTTTCTGAACCTATAGAAATTTAGTGCTTTTGGGCTGGGGATGTCCCTCAGCAGCGCTGCACCTGCATGGCAAGTGCAAGGCCCTGAATTCAATTCCTGGTACCAAAAAAAAAGAGAAAAGAAAAAAGAAATTTACTGTTTCTAACCATGGAGTGTGGTTGATCATTATTTTCCTAAGGTCTTATCTTGAAAAAAAAGAAATTGATTCCTCTTGACAAAATAAGTCCCACAAACTTAGTATTTCCTTGTGAGGTAGGTTACTTGGAAGTAAAATTTCTTTTCTTTTTTTGTCATTCAGGGCCTTCACACTGAGCTATATCCCTAGCACTTTTTTATTATTTATTTATTGATGGGTGGGGTTTTTTTTGGTGTCAGGAATCGAACTCAGGACCTTTCATTTGCCAGGGAGGCACTTGTGCCACTGAGCTTTTTTTCTTAATTCTTCTTTTTTTCCCATTCCCCTCCCATTTAGCCGTTCTTTCCCTCCCCATTTACACAAGCTTTGTTTCCTTGTTTTCCCTTCCATTCTCTTTTATTTTCCTTCTTTATTTTGAGATGATGTCTCATTAAGTTGCTCAGGCTGGGCTTGAATTTATGATCCTCCTCTGTAGCCTTCCACAGTGTTAGGATTATAGGTGTGCATCATGGTGCCAGCTTGCAAATAGAGCTTTTTAAGTGTTTGTTCTTTTCATATTTTGAGCGCCTGGGTTTCTCATGTTCTAGTGATTTGGTGAAAGTCTGTGTTCACTTTATCTGCCCGAGATAAAGGGTGGTGCTGAGGAAAGGGCCTGCTCATATGAAACCCTGACTCCTACCTCAGGATTCACCTTTGTCTAACTGGAGAAGGCACAGATATTTCATTCTGCTCTACAATTTGGTGAGTGGACCTGACTCTGCACTTCTGTATCAACACTAATACTTCGGCTGGGCATGGTGGTGCACACCTAATTAGTGCCAGCAATTGGGAGGCTGAGATAGGAGGATCATTAGAGCCCAGGGAATTGAGACCACCCTGGGCAACATAGTGAGGCCCTGTCTGAAAAAAGAAAGAAGAAAGAAAAGCAAGCAAGCAAACACAAAAAAACAAGAACAAAAAAAACTAATACTTTATTGTGACTGAAAAGGACCATTTACTTTCATGGAAAAGAGACTTACAGAGCCACATAGTCTGGTTCAAATTCTGTCTCTTTCATACATTAGCTGTGGGATTTGGCCCACAAAATGTTTTAAAGTTATTTTCTGATTCATAAAGCTTTTATTATGTTTTCTTGGCCAAAAGTTTTCATTTATTTACTTTAAACATTTTACTTTGACACTTAATGCTCTACATATTTCTGGGGTACAACATGATATTTTTATATATGTATACATTGTACAATAAAACAGTATAATTAGCATGTCTATCACTATAAACATTTATCTTTTTTTGTAATAAGGACACACAGAAATCTCTATTCTAGCCATTTTGAAATATACATTATTATTAACTCTAGTCATCCTCTAAAAGAACATCAGAACTTTGTAGTTGCTAACTAATCTCTCTCCATTCCTCCTCCTATTTTTTAAAAATTTTAAGTAGTATATAATATTACACATATTTTGGAGTTGTAGCACAACAATTTGATATATGTATGCAATGTTTAATGATCAAATTAGAATAAATAGAATTTTTACCTCCTCAAACATTGAGGAATATTTTTTTCCCCTCTCTCGGTCTCTTTTTTTTTTTTTTTTTTTTTTAAATGTAATATGGGGGATTGAGCCTAGGGGCACCCAATCACTGAGCTATGTCAGTAGCTCTTTTCATTTTCATTTGAGTTTTTGTTTTGGTTTTTTTTTTTTAAGACAAGGTCTCACTATACAGTTTGGACTGGCATTGAATTCATTATCTAGTCCAGGCAAACTCTCGGAGATCCTCCTGCCTCTATCTCCTGAGGGCTAGAATTCCATGCACGTGCCATCATGCCCAGCTTTTTCATTTTTTTCTTACTGTTTTTGATAGCATTTAGTTACATCATTTATAATGATATTTGTTTATAAAAGATATTAAAACTGGTTAGTAACTTGGTTTTATCTTGGGTTTTCCTTTAAAACTGAAAATGATAACTAGGCAGGAATTCACAAAGAATATTTCTGGATGATGTACTGACTCTCAACTCAAAAGATAGTATCATATCAATTCTATAAACTGTAAATATTAACTTCTTATTTAAGCCTGTTGATTAACATCTTTTAAAAATATCATTTCTTTAATGTTACTGGGTGTGGCAGTGCATGCCTGTAATCCCAGCACATGGGAGGCTGAGGTAGGATTGCTACAAGTTTCAGGCTAACCAAAGTGAGTTCCAGGCCAGCCTGAACTACATAGCCAGACCTTGTCTCAAAACACCAAAAAAAAAAAAAAAAAAACAAAAAAACCCAAAACCAAATAAAGTTAAGTACTACTATAAATAGTTCTTGAAAGTCCATTATGGATGTAGGATATTCAGTAAAACTTGTGGGGTCTGGAGGCTCATTTCGTGTGACTATCCAGTTTAGAGTTAAAAATCAAATGGCAGCTAGGTGTGGTGGCACACACCTATAATCATAGCACTTGGGAGGCTGAGGCAGGAGGACTGAGTTCAAGGCCAACCTGGGCTACATAGTGAGTTCAAGGCCAGCTCAAACTACATAGCAAGACCTCGTATCCAAAAACAAACAAACAAACAAAAAATCAAATGGCATTACAAAACAGTTACAGTTATGAACATCATAACCAATTCTTCAAATGATACAGCTTCCAAAGTTTTCATCATCATCCTGGTTCCCCTTCTTTTTTATTTCATGTACATATTTCTCTTTTTGAAAGAAGCAAAAAATATGTTAGTTCACCAGAATTCTGTAAGTCACAGTTTATTCAGCAGTGAGTAAGAGTAGCTTTGGTGTTTGAAATTATTAAGTCAGTTGCATCACAGACATTTTCTTCATTCAGGTCAAGGCAAAGTGAAATAGGAGAGTAAGGTTCCCAAATGTAGTCTTGAGTTATAAAGATCCAGATGACTGTACATGCGTGTACTGCAAAACTGCCTTTTATTGGGCTACAGCATGCTGCTGCTCAGCACAGAGCCATTATTAAGAGAAGGTCTGGAGCATGCAGTGCTAGCTCAAGCATGACTTGTGGAAGATTGGTTCTGCACAAGTAATTTGCTTTTCTTTGTCCAGTTTTGCCAAGATTGCACCTCTGTTTTGTTTTGAAAACTTTGTCCTGAAGGGTTTGCTGCTGTCTTCCTGTTTTGGTTAAGTTGTGTTCAGTGGCAATTCATGAGGTCTTTACGATCACCTGGAGTGCCGGGCAGCCTGGGGGCCTCACTGTCAAGGGATACTCCACCACTTACATACGTGCAAAAGCACTGCTAAGTACTGCGCTACAACACCACCACCCCCGCCACCTCATTTTTCATTTTGAGACAGTCTTGCGAAGTCACCCAAGCTGGCCTTCAAACTTGTAAACCTCTTGCCTTAGCATCCCAAACAGCTGGGATTACAGCTGTGTACCACCATACTCAGCTAACATTTATCATTTATATATTAGGAACCTTTGGACTCTTCACAGTTATTTTTAACTGTATCATAAATTGTTGTATAATGTATTTACCCTACTTTGCTATAGGATACAACTAATTCCTCCTAATTCTATTTAGATATCCATTATTTAACCTATCCCTTTAATTTCTTCCCCCAACCCTCCCAGTCTCCAGTGACCACTATTCTATTCTCTACTCTTTTTCTGTAAGATGGATTTATTTACCTTTCGTAAGTAAAATCCTCATTTTTTTAAAAAAAAAAACAGCTTTTATTAAGCTATAAATCACATACCATACAATTCATCTATATATAATGTACAGATAAAAATGTCTTGAGAGACTAAATTTAATACCTCAATGGTTTGTATTCTTCTAGTACTGTCCAACTGTGACTAAAGAGTGCTTTGTTTTACAGTTTATTCTTCTCTTTGGAGGAATCCCTTATCTCTGGAGACTTTCTGGACAATTCTGTGGTTATATTGGCTTTGGACCAGAATATGAGGTATGTGATTCAATACTATATATTTATCAGGGTTTTTTGGGGGTTTTTTTGGCAACCTTCATACTAAAGTTATCTTTTTGGCTCCTACCATCATTAGACTTGCTTCTCTGCACAGTATTAGAATAATGCTAGTTACTGTGGTCCCAGAATTTCAGTGACTTATCACAAGAGTTGATTTCTCAATTACATAATAGTCTGGTGTATTTTCAGTTAGCAGGTGACTTTGTCCCATGTGTTAGCCCAGGGCCTCAATCTCTTTTCATTATATGGACTTGTTATCCAGTGCCCCAGAAACAGTAGAAAAAGTATACTCTGTTATCTTCTCTAGCTCCAAAGGGATACCACTCCTTCACATTTGCATTTCATTGATCAATCATTTGGTCTTGCCCAGATGAAAAGGAGCTGGGAAATATAGTCTTTGGTTAGATAACTGTTTTTTTAGGAGCAACTCTATGCAATGAAAAGGAAAGCATAAATTTTGTTGAATGCACACTAAACAGATACTCTGTGTCACACATATCTAGCAGTTACTTCAGAGAAAAACAGAAAACCTACCTCCCAGAATCTCCGAGAATTGTACTACTATCTCCCTACCTCCCAGAATTGTACTACTTTAGTTAACCATCTACTCTTGCAGGATCTCCAGTAACTGGGAAAAGTGTAAAACCTGACATTCCACATCTATAATGAATATTACAAGATTGCTCCCTGATTTTTTCTTAGAAATTGACAAGTCTGTTACCTTCTTCCTGGACTTGAACTTAGTTCATTCATGGTCCTTTTCTGTGTGCCCTCTGCTAAAACAGCCAGACTTACAAGAACTCTTTTTCCTATGTACTCTATCTGTACATACTCCAGGGTCTGACTTGCATATGTGGTACGGCAGTTTACTCTCATATTCTCTGCTGTGTTTCAGAAATGATTTATGGCAGTTTCTTGTATATCATGGCTAGCTGCTTGTTGAGTTCTCATCTTAGATGTCATTTCCTTACAGAGAACTTCCCTGACTACTCTATCTGAAGGAGCATCTGGCTGTCACTTTAGTGAGGCACATCACATTAACTTTTGTGATAAAGGCTCAGCTATCTATAAATCAGTTCTTTATTTGCTTACTTTGTAACTGCTGTCCCTGACAGGTATATAAGCTCTAAGGAAATAGAGGCATTATGTATTTTTTTCACTGCTACATCACAAGAGCCTAGAACAATGCCCATCACAAAGTAGGCATTATATATTTTATTGATTGAATAAACACATCCTACATTACTTTTACTAACAATGTAAGAGTGAACTCTGTAAATAATTATATCAGTGTATTTAAGGGAAGAAACCTTAGAATCTTTTAGCTTTGCATCTTGGTGATAACCAGCATCTTGCCCAGCAAATGATTCTGGCTTACATTCCAAACCCTACCCGGTAAAGTCCTGAAGACAGCTGAGTACCTGGTGTCAGGCACTGATGGTACCTGGGGTGTTTCTTAACTGACCTCTGATGTGTTAAGAGTTCTTGACAAAGCCCACATACGTACCTTTGTCTAGCATAGCATATAAGCCCCTTCCTCTTGTCTCTGAATCTAGGAATCCTGTGTCCTTGCTGCCAACACAGGCTTTATCCATTTTGTCCATTAATTTCTTAATAAATTGCATACTTTGTTAAAAAAAAAAAA